TCGCGACACGCACGACAACATGGTTATTTAGCGACGATAATTATGCGTGTAAAAGTGTCGAGAAATTGGGCGGTGGGAGAGCGAAGGTCCGAGCCTCTCCATGCTTCGCCGCGTGCTCAGAATGCGTCACTGATTAGCGCTCTTATTTATGGGACGTCGCACACGGGAGGGAGGGTACTAAGAGGGAGACACCGCGTCCGACTCTCCCCCCTTGAAGAAAATTCGTGAGACCCGAGCGACTTTTAGAGCCCCGACATATTTCCCGGTTATCACGTTCCTCGTATAATTCACCCGACGACAGGCCAACGCACCGGCGTCATTTCACGTTCGGTGGAATCGTATATTTTCAACTTTTCTCCTCCCCCCTCTCTCTCTCTCTTTCTGTTTGTTTCTCGTGGCGCCACGGGGTTCTCTGCTTTTTTAGAGCGAGAGCAATACTTAATCCTTCGTCCACCCCCGAGTGTATTTCTGCAAATAGATCCACATCTATTTCTCGCAGGTTTTCTCGCGTGATTGGATGAAAAATAAGATCTTGTAAACGTTTGATACACACGCGGAGTATCCGCAGAAAACCGGGTGTTTTCTTGTTATAGATTCGTCTGCCAATTTGCGGTCAACCTTTGCCTTCGCGAAAAAGGCGAGGAAGAGGATCCATTATTTGCCGTAATTTTATATCTTTGTAATTACATCTGACAAATCAAAATTCTCTGTATACAGTTCGCATAAAATTAAACAATAATCGCAGTTCTATCGTAGATGATGGACTACCATTCTGAAATAAATTTTTACACAGAAATGTCTTCGATATCAATCATCCGATTCCAGCTCAACCGAGGATTGCATAATCGGAATAATTATGAGCATCCGATTTTGGAACAATATATAAAATACAAAATCATGCAAAAAAATCTGTTTTTATATAAATAATAATTAAATTAATTACACTACTCAGAATGCGGATCTTCGATTAATGTAGATTTACATTTACATGTCTCCACACTGTAAAAAAATTTTGTAAAATTACAACTATTATAGTGGGTAATTTTGAGACCCACTATAATAGTTGTAATTTAAAAAAATTACAGTTCGGAAGGAAAAAGTAATTTTGTATTACAATTACACAAGTTAAAGATGTGTGGAAATTTACACCTATTATAGTGGGTCTCAAAATTACCCAATATAATAGTTGTAATTTTACAAAATTTTTTTACAGTGCATATATCGCATGTGTGTGTGTGTGTGTGTGTTGCATGTGTCGATTTGCGAGCTGAACTCTTCTCGGAGATCGATCGATCTCTTCAGTCACTCCGGAAAGACATTTCCCAGCGATCACGTTCGTCGAATAACCACGACGTACGTGCATCTCGCGTGTTCCGGTGAAATCGCTTGGGTTTGTTTTTTCGAGCTACGGCGCAAAGATCTACTTTTAGAGAGGGGCGGTAAGATACTTTTAGAGTTTGCGTTTGATGCATGTCGCGCGAATGGCGAGGTGGGCACGATAACTTCGTTATGCGAGAACAAACATCACGATCAACAGCGATCGCGCGCCAGCTACTATCCACTGTCCAATTACAGTCCACTAATTACACGTAAACATCCGTGCGATGCGAATTCCGATGTCGGACTCGTTTCTTTCTCGATTATTCGTCCATTGACACGACGTCGCGTACGTTTATAACTTTTTCGCAGTGGCATTGCCACTTGAGAATTTGCAGCTTGAAAATTTATCGTTGCATGGACCGTATTTTTCAATCTTTCTTTTTGGTCTTTTAGTTCTTATAAATTGATGTAATTTGAAGCTTTTATATGACCAAAACCAATGGTCAAATTGTCACGACAATTGACTATCATTCCCTTACAGAAATTTAATATTGTAAGTGATTATTTTGGCTAGTGATTAATTACTTATTTCGAGTATTAAAAGTACTGTTTTTAATGATTTTAAGGTAAAGGTACCAATACCCGGACATGTACCTATATCCGGACACCTTTATTATTTATAAGTATAACGCGTATTAAAATCAAAGATAAAAGTATT